AGAAGGGTAGACATGGAAAAGAACACCCCCTCTCACCCCTGATTTCATGAATGTGGCTTTTACACGTGTGACTCTCTCAGTTACCTAGCGCTGCTGTAACAGAAATGTCACAAGTGGTGGCTTTATCAAACAGAAACTTATTCTCTCACAGTTTAGGAGGCTAGAAGTCCAAATTCAGGGCACTGAATATAGGGGAAAGCTTTCTCTCTCTGTTGGCTCTGGAGGAGGGTCCTTTTCTCTTTGAGATTCTGCTCCTGGGTGATCTTCATGTGGCTTGGCATCTCTCTTCACCCATCTCTGCTTCTGTCCATTGCTTGTTTAATCTCTTTTATAACTTCAAAGAGATTGACTCAAGATATACCCTACTCTAATCCTGCCTCATTCACATAACAAAGACAACCCATTCCCAAATGGGAGTATAAACACAGGCATAGAGGTTAGGATTTACAACACATATTTCTGGGTGACATAATTCAAGCCATAACATTCCACCCTTTGGCCCTCAAAAATTTATGTTCTTGCCACGTGCAAAACACATTCACTCTATCACATCATCGCAAAAGTCTTAAATCAACTCCAAGTCCAAAAGCTCATCTTCTGAAGCATCTAAATCAAATATGGGTGAGACTTTAGGCAGAGTCCATCCTGAGGCAAAATTCTTCTTCATCTGGCAACCTGTGAAATCTAGAATACAAGTTATCAGCTTCCAAAGAACAATAGTAGAACAGGCACAAAGTAGGCATTTCCATTACAAATAGGAGAAATTGGAGGGAAAGAAGGGATAACAGGCACCACCGAAGTCCAAAACCCAGCAGAACACATTACATTAGCTCTTAAGTCTTGAAAATAATCGTCTCTTCTCTGAGGCCATCTGGGTAGTGGTCCTACCCTCCAGACTCTGGGTGTTGGCTACATCCTCTGAGTTTTGGGTGGAGGCCTCTTGGCCCTGGGCTTCAGCCTCACCTTCCAGGCCCACCAGGACTGCAACTCTTCTCCCTTGGCTTTGGGTGGCACCACTCTCCTAGTCCATCTGAATGGCGACCCCATCCCTTTTGGCCCTGGCAGGCCCCATTCTTCTGCTCTCTGGGCATGGCAGCCCCACCCTCTCAGCTTTGGGAGGCAGCCCCATCCCCCTGACATACCTTAACAGCAGCCCCACACTCCAGAACCGAGCTGGCAAAGATCTGACTCTTTGAAACCTAGTAGACCCTGACCCCACCCTTTGAAACAGAGAAAGCCCTGCTTCTCGTGATCCTTCCAACAGTTCTGCTGATCTCTGAGCTTCTCCAGGGATGGTTCTTTTCTTTTCTTTTCTTGGAGGACAACAGATGTAGGTCCTTTGGCCTGTTTCCTGCCTGTAGAATTCCAAAAGGCAGACAGCGTTCTTTCCTTTCATTCTTTCTCTGTCCCCTTCAGTCTAAGCTGATGAGATTTCTGCTGTAGTAGTTGGTTAGATCCATCAGGCACAGGCTTAATCTCCTTAACAAAAGATTGTGCAGCCAAGTCCTTGATGAACATTCTGGAACACATGTCCTTTGTTTGTACAACAGAATTTTCCAAATCTTTCGTTCTGTTTTCATTTTGCACAGTTCATTTTTAAGCCCATCTCTTTCCTCTTGCCTTTTACTATAAGCAGCAAGCAGAAATCACACGGTCCCTTTAAAATCTTGCTTAGAAATCTCATCAGCCAGATATACAAGTTCATCACTTACAAGCTTGACCTTCCATCAGACATTTTAACATATTTTAGACAAGTTCTTTGCCACTGCATAAAAAGCATCGTCCTTCCTCCACTGTCCAGTCACATGTTCATCATTTCCTTTTAAAGCCTCACCAGAAGCACATTTAATGTCTGCATTTCTAGCAACGTTCTGTGCTGGTGCCATATATGTTCTCTAAGATGATAGAGACTTTATAGCTCTCCTCACTTCTTTCTGAGCCCTCATCAGAATTGCCTTTGATGTCCGTATTTCTACAGACAGTCTCTTCAAGGCAATCTAGGATTTTACTACTAAAATAACAACAACAACAACAAAACCCATTGCCATTGAGTTGATTCCAACTCATAGTGACCCTATATTAGGCATCTTAAAACTCTTCTAGCTTCTACCCATTACCCAACTCCAAAACCACTTCCACATTTTAGGTATCTATTAGAGAAGCACCCCCACTTCTCGGTACCAAATTCTATCTTAGTTATCTAGTGCTGCTATAACAGAAATGCCGTAAGTAGGTGGCTTTGAAAAACAGAAATTTATTTTCTCACAGTATAGGAGTCTAGCAGTCTGAATTCAGAGGAAGGACTTTCTCTCTCTGTTGGCCCTGGAGGAAGGCTTGTCTCTTTGAGCTTCTCCTCCTGGGTGATCTTCATCTGACTTGGCATCTCTCTTTCCCTATCTCAGCTCTGCTGGCTTGTTTAATCTTACATTTCTAAAGAGATGGACTCAAAATACACCCTACAGTAATCTTGCCTCATTAGCATAACAAAGACAACTCATTCCCAAATGGGATTATAACCACAGGCATAGAGATTAGGATTTACAACATGTATTTTTGGGGGACATAATTCAATCCATAACAGATGCCATAACAAAATGCCATCAACTAGGTGGCTTTAAACAACAAGAATTGATTATTCTCCAAATGAGGTTATGGATTCCTCCTGAGGGTGTGACAGAAGCTCTGCTCCAGGCCACGCTCCTAGTGTCTCCTGGCACTGGAGATCCTCGGCGCTTCTTGGCTTCTGGGCAAACGTGCCTATGTCGTCACATAGCATCTCTCTTCTCCTGGGTGTCACTCTGTGTCTGTTCTTCTCTTTCATAAGACACCACCCTACTCCAGTGTGACCACATTTAACATGATAACAACACAACCCTATTTCAAACAGGGGCACATTTGCAGGTCCAGGGGTGAGGACTTCCACATGTCTTTTTGGGGATGTCATTCAGTCTGTAACAGTGATGTCCATTAGAGGTGCCCTTAGCTTGTGACCATTAACACTTGGAAGGGATGTTTTCCTCTCCCATGGTCCTTTGAAGACAGTGTCTGTTTTAATAGACACCTATTTAATAGAGACACACCTCTTGATGCTATCGGCAATCGCTATATGCTCAGAAGAGGAAGGCTGGTTTTGCCTAAAGACCACCTCCAGGGAGACGCTGGCAGGGGTTCTGTCTCCTCCTCCCACAGGCGGCTATTGAGCACCACACTCCTGGCCTATGCGAATTGAGACGTGTTGGAAGTGCCCAGTACGGGATTTCAAAGACTTAGCACAAAAAAACTCTCATTAATAATCTCAAAATATTGGTTACATGTTGAAATGATAATACTTGTATTTATTGGGTTACATAAAGTGTATTAAGTTTAATTTTAGCGTTACTGCTTGCCTTTTTTTTTTAACGCAGCCACCGGAAAACTAACATTGCAAATATGGTTCTCCTTTTATTTCTGTTGGGCTGCGCCGGTCTGGAGCACCTGGGGGCCTGCTTGGTTTCGATCAATTCATGTCCAGCCCCGCCGGCCTCTGGGGCCTCTCCGGCACTCAGTAGGGAACGTCCGACCGCCTGCTCGCTCCCTCTTGCACCCCATCCCCAAGGCTGTTTGATCTCCCTCCTAAGCCCTTCTGGATTCGTCCACACCTACTCCTGCTGCACTTCCTCACCAGGCCGCTTCTCCCCCAGCCCTAGTCAGACTGCACGTGTGATGAGCTCGCTGATCGTCCCCTCTGCGCGCTGAGCCCGCCTGGCCGGCCGTGCCTCCCTGTGCTCTCCCTGGCACGGGGGACGTCAGTCCCTGCTGAGCGAGCTGTCAGTGGGGCGCCGCCCAGGAGACTCCTCACTGCGCCGCGAGGGGGCCGACCGGGCTCTGTTTCCTCGCAGGCGCACTTCTTTTCAGTCTCCCTGGATGAGGAGCTCCCTATCCCCGCAAACAGAGCCCGCGCCGGGCTTGGGGACTCGCTGGGGGCCCCCGCCAGCCCGCGGAGACTCCAGGGTTCCAAGGTCGGGAAGCTCACGCTGCTGCAGGCCTCCCCCCCACCCCCGCTGTACTGCCCGAGGGGCGCCCCGACCCCCGGCACTTCAGAAGGGGCCCGGAAGCCGGCACCCTGGAACGTGACTGGAGTCCAGGGCTGGGCCGGGAGACGGAGCAGCGGGCGCTCAGGCGGTGCCGGGGGTTCCCGCGCAGCCGTCGGAGGCACGGAGGAAGCTGGCAGTGTACCGGCGAGAACGCGGCCCCTTTAAGCGGCGCCGTCGGAGCCGGGCCGTGACGTCACAGGAGGGCAGGCGGAGTGTGTGCGCATCCGCGGCGCGGTTCGGGGCGGTGGGCGCAGGGGCGGGGCCGACTGACTGACAGGAGCGCGATGGCCGGAACGTCCGGCCCCACGGAGGTCCCGCCCCCTCCGCCTAGCGCAGGCCCCACCCCGCCTCTTCTCCGCTGGC